GAAGGAAAGCATGGCTCTGATCGAACATTTCCAGGGGTCCTCTCGGTGAGAGGAACACCATTCAACGAGCAGGTTCCACCTTAAAGCATAGGCCCATCTCGTGGACGGTGCTCGTGCTGAAGCAATAGTGAGTACTACCTCCTGGGGTAGGTCACCTAGAACCTCCGCGTCCCGTCCAGGGACCACACATGGAGTTTCCACAGGTCCGGATGTGGGTGCCAGAGGGTGCCCCTTCTCTGAGAAAGCAGATCCTTCTTCAGAGGATGCCAGCTGTGTGCCAGTCCATCCGCACTGAGCATTGCCTCGGTTAGGGAGTAGAACCACTGGCAGTGGGTGGTTTCTGGAGATGCAAACAGGTCTACCTGAGCAACTCCAAACCGTCTCCAGATCAGCTGAACCGCCTGGGGGTGGAGTCTCCACTGCCCTGGAAGTGCTGCTCGAGACAACTCGTCGACTGCCCGATTGAACACTCCTGGGATGTGGATGGCACGAATGGACCTCAGATGCTTCTGACTCCAGAGGAGGAGGTGGCGGGCGAGTTGCGACATGCGACGGGAGCGTAAACCGCCCTGCCGGTTGATATACGCAACGGTCGCAGTATTGTGCATGCGGACCAGTACGTCCCTGCCCCGAAGGCACCCTCTGAGGCAGCTTAGGGAAAGGCGCACTGCCAGCAACTCGAGGCAATTGATATGCCAACGCAGTTGGGGACCCGTCCACACCCCTGACACTGTGTGCCCGTTTTAGATGGCTCCCCAGCCGGTGGCCGAGGCATCTGTGAAAACCACCGCATGCCTGGATACCTGTTCCAGGGGCACTCCTGCCCGAAGGAACGAAGGATCCGACCACGGGCTGAAGGTTCTGCGACAGTGAGTGAAGAGGCAGAGGGACTCCGCCATTTTTTGACGTAGCGGAGTCTTTTATGCAACTCCGAGATGGTCATGTCCCCACACAGAGAACATGCACCATCCACGAACACTTCCTCAGCGTGCTTAATGCCCAGACACGTGAGGCAGCGATCGTGACCATCCTGAGGCGCCAGCTAACGACCACATTCAGAAACGCTCGGGTGATAAGAAATCTTTAAAAAGACGCGATCACCCGTGTTGCTCTTTTAGGGATTGCTCTTTTAGTGCTGAAGCACGCAGGGGAGCTGGCCACCGCACACTCCTGGTGTGGCTGTCTGCATGCCGGATGATTCCCGTAAGACTGTGACGACCGCTGCTGTCTGCCGTAATGCCCACACTCGCTTTCTGCAATCAATCGAAGAGAAGAGCAGTAGTGATGCACCACCGCTCG